ATGAGAGGCGAGAAATGTCAGCGAAGGAGCTTCAGCGCCATTTTCTCGGTCATTATCTATGTCAAGGCGGCGATTGTTCTCAATGTACAAGAGCTAAGGACACCTTTTAGAACGGCTTTCAACCGCAAAAGTTCAAAAGGAGAATTTTTGGGGAACAAAGTACAATTTTTGAAAAAAGTTACCAAGCGCTCTGAGCTTCAGTATGACAGGCGAACAGGTGAACCTGTAGTACAAGTTGGTCAAAAATCAAAGTTTATGTTATGATCTCTCGAAAAGCAATATTCATGGCCTGAAACACTTATATGAATGCTGATGCTCCGCGAAAATTGTTGATTAGTTGAAGAGTAACTATCTTCTCCGAAAGCAAGCTAAGCCATCTTGATATTCGAAGAAGATGGTTGGAATATTTATTTCCGAATTTCAGATGACTTTAGTTATAACAAACTTTTGATCTTTTCAGGTTTTGAAAGCCATAACGAATGTCATAGGGAAGATTTCAAAAACGTGAAATATTTATCATAAGCGAATCAGTATGATTCTACAGGACTAGTTTTGCATTACCGAAAACGAGGAAACCACTGCACATCAAAAAAGATATGAAGAATGTTTGATCATTGGAAAGTCCAATAATCATCTCAGCTTAGGCAAGTATTGAATCTAGGCATATCACAGCGAATAGGAATACAAACCGGGTTGAAAAGACAAAGCTGAATAAGAAATGAATAAGAATTTTATAAAACTCCTTTAATTTAAAGGTCTAAACATCTCTACATATAAGTTCGATAGATTGCCCTAAAGGATGTTTAACTAAACTCTCTTTGTAGGTCGAGTATTCGCTGGCAGAGCACCTGTGAGTTGGTTTCGTAGGGATTCGCCTGCAAGACCGAGGTGACCAGCGATTCTGGGAAGATTTTACTGAGATGGTACTGTAGTTCTGTGCGGTCAGGAGGAGTGCTGCAAATGAGCGTCAATAGTGTCAACGCGATTTGGATTTGGGAAAGAGGAACTCACTCTTGTGTTAGAGGCCCAACGCTTAATTCACTGTGTCCCCAAAC